CCCCCCCCCCCCTGAGTTTTCTGGAAATTACATTCATCTCCATAGAGCACAGCCGTGTGCTACTGAGATTCTCTCACAGCCTTGCTGGGAGTAAGTTCCATTCCGCAAAGCTCGCTGGTTGACGTGCACAGCCCAGGAGCTTCAGAGTATTTGCAAAGTTGTACAGAAGTCGCCACTCCCAGCGTAAATATGTCCACCAGCTGGAAGGAAGTCTCAGTATCTACGTTCACTCCCTGTCAGCCAGCAATCTACTTTCTGTTCCTATTTGCCTTTCCTGGGCATTTCACTTTTATGTACATACCTTATTACATGTATGTCCAGGTGAGATCAAGGCATTCAGCTGCCCTCTGGGTGTTTGGGCTGCCAGGCCTGGATTGCCTTCCTTTGACAAATAGAGTTTCTCTCCAGTTCTCTGTGAGCTGTTCTAGTTCAAGCTGGTTGGGTTATAGTAATTGGTGAAGGAAAATCTGGGAGGTTATGAAGGGAGGAGTAGAGAACCAGTTACTTTCCAACCCCGGGGACCCCCCTCCGACCTCTCAGCCACAGCTAGAAGCAGCCACACCTAGCGTTAGCCCATCTCCCAGGCTCTGATATCTGCCTGCCGAGTCTGTGGGCTGCCTTTTCCAGAGACCGAGGCCTGGGCTCCTTCCAACCCCTTGCTGCCTGGTGGGCTTCACATTCAGGTTCACACCCATTATTTAAACTTCCAACTATCTTAGTTTAGTCTCAGTTCAGTTTAAAAATGACTTCTCATCATATAGTTGAAAGAGACTGGCAGCTGGCTTGGCCCTGGCTCTGGTGGGCTGTGTGTGGTGCCAGGTGCCTGGCTAGTTACCAGCCCTGACCAAGGCCAAGCCCCTGACTAGTTACCAGCCCTGACCAAGGCCAACCCCCTGACTAGTTACCAGCCCTGACCAAGGAGATGAAGCTGCTTCATTCACCGTCTGTGCTGACTTTGGAGCCAGTTAAAAGGTCAGGGGTTTCTCAAGATATGCTGGGCGTGTCAAGGTTTACTTTTGGGGAGTTGTTATTGATTTTGTTATCCTCCTATATACTCAGAAATAGACTTTCAAACAGGAATTGGGTTCCTGTGTCAGTTCTATTATGCAGTAGCTGTTTAATCTGTGCCCCTTTATCGACAAAACGAGGGGGTCGGGCTGAATTTCGCCTGAGGGCCCCTCTATTCCTGGGTTCACCAGAGTGGGCATGGTGAGTGGGACAGCCCCGTCCTCACCCAGCGTCTGCTGAGCACCTGGGTGCTGGGTTGGGCAGCATTGCCGCCCTGTGGCAACCCCCCTAACGCTTCCTTTCCATGCACAGGGTTGGCCGGCGGCCGGTGCTCCTCTGTTCCATCGTCTTCATTCTGATCTTCGGCCTGACCGTGGCCCTGTCTGTGAATGTGACCATGTTCAGCACACTCAGGTTCTTCGAAGGATTCTGCCTGGCTGGGATAATCCTCACTTTGTATGCGTTAAGTAAGTAGGAGCCTTCACACCCGTCCTGAAGAAACCGGAGGCAGCGTTGCTGCCCCGGGGGCTCTGGGAAGGGATGGGATGCCCATGTTTTGGAAGCACAAGCTCGAGTGGACTGAGCTCGTGTGAAAACACTTTCTTGGGAAATGTCATCCAACACCCTGTCTGTCCTGTGTGATGACAACCCTCTGAGGACGTGGAAGGTGGTGTAGCTGCTTGGAGAAGCAGGGACCAGCCCACAGCTGATGTTGGGGGGCTTTTGCTTTCCCCAAGCATTTTCTGTTAGTGTTCTGTGCACTCCACGTCCAGCTTATAACTAGGCGTCCCTGTGCTGGGTTCCGGAAAAGCATACCCGCTGCTGCTACCCTTTGTACTGGTCTCTGTTTTGATGGACTCTTTAAGAGTTTTTCTTCCAGCCCTGGCCAGGCAGTGCAGTTGGTTGGAGTGTCGTCCTGATACAGCAAGGTTGCAGGTTTGATCCCGGGTCAGGGTGCATACAGGAAGCAACCAGTGAAGCAGTGATAAGTGGAACAACAAATGTTTCTCTCCCTTTCCCCTTTTCTCTCTCTCTCTTAGAAAAAAATAGATAAAAAGAGTTTTTTTAATTTTTTCTCTGTAAGGCTATGCAGAGTCCACAGCATCCACAGTCCCGTGTGCCCAGATGTGGCCGTAAGTGGCCTGGACTTGAACCCATGCATTGGTACTGGAAGAGTGAGTGGCAGTATTTGTTAGTATCTGCTCTTTGTAGGGTGAGGAAAAGTATCCTTCATGAATCCGTCGTGTCTGTCGGTTGTGTCTCCCCCTCCCGGTCTGGTCATGTTTCACTTCTCTGTAGTTGGTGTTTTCTAGAACACAGCCCCAAACCCATAAGAAGGAGGCAGGTTTTAGGCATGAATGTTTTCACTTATGCTCCAGTTTTATGCCTTCTAGTCACCTGGTGGAAAGAATGTTAGGAATAAAGAAGAATTGATTTATAGGGCGTTTTGTTGTTTTCTTTCCCTCTGTCAACATGGGTAGGAGTCAGTTATAGATTAAGTAGCAATTTCCAGGGAGGTCAAATAAGAATAGTTCTGCTTCTCTTAAGTTTTCTTATTAAAAACTTGATAACACTTCTAGGTATCCTGAATATTTGTTCCCCTGTTATCTAGAATATAAATATAGTCAGTTTGTAGCATAGTGTTAGAGCCACAAAGAGAAAGGCCACGGCCTACCCCCTGAACCACAGTCCACAGTTCTGTCGTCCTCCCAGCACTGAACTGGTTCCAGCTCATTTGCATTTATTTTGCACCCCTTGCTTCTGAGGGGGGTTCTCTAGGAGTGTGTGTGTTCAAGGTCAGTGGGTTAAGGTCATGGCTGCTTGGAGGTTTTGCTTCTTTGAACAGCCACACGAGTGTGGGGCTTGCACGTTTCCAGGTAAATGCCTGTGCTGTCCTCTGGCCCCACCCGCCCACTGGTCTGTGGGAGGGCAGCTTCCCCACCCTTTTTCCAGGGAAGACCCCAGGCCCTGCTTTCAGACACCCACTTGCCCTGCATCTGTGCAGGTGTGATGTGCTCTTCTCTCCAGGTGGCCGTCTTTGTGAGGCCCCTGATTCTCGCAGGAGGACGTCGATCCAGGGCTTCCCCGGGATGGCCACTAAAATAGCTGCACTTGAGGAACTTAGCAGAGAGTGTGACCTCAGCCCCACCACCCGAGTACTCATCGGACTTGGTGCAGAGAATGCTAATGGCAAATTGCCTTCAAACAAAGATGACATACCGGTTTTATCTTGCATGCCAACTGCTCATGATTGGTTGAGGCTGCCAGGGAGCTCAGAGAGGACCTCAGCTGGAAGGAACACCTGATACATTAGCCGTGTCTGCCTGGGATTAGGAGGGAGGGTGGGGAAGGGCTGCCTGGAGCTGACACTCACCCTCTGCACAGATCCTCCTGAGCGGAGCCAGATCGGGAGAGGACCCCCAGACTGCATCCTGTCAGCCTCACGCAGAATCATCTTACTGACTGATGTGATATCAGGCCATTGGCTCTGTGAAACCTGTTGGCTTATTTACCATAACAATGAAGTTAAGGGTTTTTTTTTTCAGGAGATTACATAGTGAGCTCTTTGTGGTAGGAAGTTCTCTTTCATCTCAGAACCATACAGAGAATGTGCTCACCCAGGAGGCTGCTATGCTTTTATCCCTAGGCACAGGATCATGTAACCCAGGTATCTGCAAACATTTTTCCTGTAAAAGGCAGGTAGTAACTATTTTAGGCTTTGCACGTCTCTGTTACAACTACTTAACTCTGCTATTGTACCATGAACGCAGCCACAATAACGTGAATGATTAGGTGTCGCTGTGTTCCAATAAAACTTTATTTGCAGAAGCAGGTAGTGGGCTGGATTTGACCAGCAGGCTCTAGTATTTCAGCAGCTGATGTGAGTTCGTCTCTCTCTGTTGACTCCTAGGTAGCTTAGAAAGCCTGGAGTCTGGTCCCGCAGGTGTATGGCCTGACGAGTTGAGCTTCAAATTAGGGCGCTCTCCTAATTTCATTGGAACTCTCCTACTTTAATTTCCCCCTTGTCCCCGTCTTCTGTTTCTATCATATAATTGTTATTTGATTGTGTGTATTTGTATAAGCAACCTTAAATTTTTCTGAAATAAAGCCGGGCATAAATAAATAGTTATGATCTCTTAGATTGGAATTACATGAGACATCATGACAAATACCACTGGAATGAAAAATTCCAAGTATTAAGCAGTGGCCTACTGTCTGAGCTAATATAGTGTCTGGTATAGCAAAATTAAAATAAAGCGAAGGACATAAGTGATTACTTAGAGCTCATTGAGATTATAGTTAAATAATGTAAATAAGGGGCCATAGATTGAGAGACATCAGAAGAGCGAAGCTTGGCGGGAGAGGACACCCAGCTGTGAGGCAGGCGGGACTTCGGAGGATGCTGCCGATGGGCTGGGGCGGGCGCCTCTGTCAGTCCTGGATCGAGACACGGCTGCTGACAGAAGTTAAGGGACAAGCTCCTGGGCAATAGGGCAGATGACTGAGTTTCCAAATCTGTGTGCTTGCCAGCAGTTTTCACAAGAATAGTCTGTGTGCTTAGTTAATGCTTAAGAATTTGTTTTGTTTAAAGGAAATTCTCATCATCTCCATTACTCGGTTGAAGTATTTCTTGACTCTAAGGAAAAGTTTAAAACTTGTGGGCACTGATCGTTTGGGAGATACGTTTTTAATGGTCTGGACTTTTTCTACCCCCAGCGTGGTAGGTTTCCACCTCACCTAATGCGTGTGCTGGAAAGGCCAGCACGTTCTCAGGGAGGTGGATGCCATTCGTTTTCAGTCCTGCAGGCTTGGCAGTCAGGAGGGGAAAGTGATGATTTTTGCAGAGTTCATTTCTTATGTCGCCGGCCTGTGGGTGGACTCTGCGTTCTGAGAAATGCTGCTGACTTGGGAAAGTTTTGTGCTTTATATGCAAGGCTGCTTGAGGTTTTTTCATGCTTTGGGATTTTTCTAAGGTACATTGCAGTTAAATACTCTCCCTTAAACTTTTGTTTCCTTCAAGTCAACACAGGGACATGGTTGCACAGTTAGGACATAAAGCAGAGATTATTGGCAGCTTCCCCAGGAATCTTTACAGGGGAGCTGAGTGTGCGCTGGCAGGAGAGGATGGGGAACCGAGAGGGTGTGTGCAGGGCTGTGGTCTGTTTCCTGCCTGCCTCTGGCTCCGAGCTGATTCAGTGCCCTTGGGCTACATCAGTAGCCTATTGTATCTCTTTACTGCTGAACCACACAAAAAACGGGTAGAAAATCTTAGCTGGGCCAGGGACAGGGAACTACAGACCAAGGAAAGAATTGACCACATTTCCTTGTTTATGAAAACGAAGTCTTATCAAGACTGAAGACAGAGCCACATTTCAGTGCAGGCAGACGTGCCTGTGATGGTGTGAATTCAGATCATAACATTGGAGACAGGGTAACAGCATAGTTTGAGATGTGTCTTTCTCCAACAGAGGCCAATGGGGGATCATTGCTTTTTAATTTGATTTGATGTTGGATGTACTAAGTCCTGTGGGAGAGAAATATTTTTTAAAATATAAATACTTTTTCATTTCATTTGATCTTGGTCTTCCCCTTCTCCACCGTTAACATGCCCCCCCCCAGTTTGAAACAATGAGCATTGCTTTTGGCTGTCAGAGACTGTACCAGTTACTATGAGCAAATGAACAGCTTTTTTGGCCTAATAACAAGACACTACCTTAAAGTTTCATGTTCTCATTACAGTGACCCTCCCTCTGCCCAGATAGCTTAAATAATTGGATGAATTTTGTACATAATCAAGGAGTGACCGTAAATTTCACAGGTGACTAAGTAACTGATTACTTTACAAAATTCAAAGCCAAGTCTTAGCTGGTAAATAGACTCAGGAAACTCTGGAGTTTGCTCTGGGTGGGGCAACGCTCTTTCTCACATTGCACGCATAGTTTCAGACTCTCACGTGTGGTTGAGTAATTTCTAATGTGCTGGGGTGAGGTGACTTTTTCTCCCTGTTGCATATATTTCTATAATCTGATGTTCTCCTGAACTAATATTCCTCAGGACATATTTTATTCTACATGATTATTTAAGCATCAGAGCTGTGCTGTACATTTTTAAAAAATCAGCTGAACCAGGTGGCTGCGTGTGTGAGTTACTGAGCTGTGGGCTGAATGAAGCGGAGACTGCTGGGCTGTGGAGCCAGCGGAATGGAGATCGCCACTGTCAGATATATGGGGCTTGAACTGCCTTGTGTTTCACATCTTCCAGGGAGCAAATATTTGCATGTATCTGGGTGAGGGGGGAGCGTCAGGAATGCGTGCTGGGTTACCATCACCTGTAGGTCTCTGTTCCCCACCCTTCGCCTCCCCAGCTTCCAACACCTGGGCCTTCCCAGTGGCAGCAAGCCCTGCAGCCCTAACCCTGTTCTTCCTGTGGGACTGACTCTGTGGGCAGAGCTTTTCCACCAGGGAAA